CGTGCCACCCGCTCCCCACATTGTCACCACACCGTGCCATCCCCCCCGCCCCCCCCCCAAACCCCCCCAGGCTGGGGGGGGGTGGGGGGTCCCCCCCCCCCCCCCCCCAGGTGCTGGGGTTCACCCGGCGCTGAGTCACGGCCATCGGTGCTGAGTCATGGGGAGAGGGTCGGGGGGACGGGGGGGGCCGTGCTGGGGGGTGGGGGGTGGTGACACTGAGCGCGTCCCCATCGTCCCCAGGGGGGCTTTCTCGGTGGTCCGGCGCTGCGTCAAGCTGTGCACCGGCCATGAGTATGCTGCCAAGATCATCAACACCAAGAAGCTCTCAGCCAGAGGTAGGGACCCCCACAGCGCCCCCACAGCCCCACATCCCCTGTGCTGTGACACTGCTGCTGCCCCATGGGGCTGTGCCATCCCGCTCCCATCCTGCTGCCTCACTGGGCCTCGGGTGTGCATGGATGTGTGTGTGAGTGTGAGTGTGAGCTGTGTGAGTGTGAGTGTGAGCTGTGTGAGTGTGCACTGCGTGTGAGCAGTGGAGGGGGGCTGAGGGTTGGGCTAGGGGCAGTGACAGCGAGGTGACGGCGGTGGCTCTCGCTGTGCCCCAGACCACCAGAAGCTGGAGAGGGAGGCGCGCATCTGCCGGCTGCTGAAACACTCCAACATCGGTGAGCGGGGTGGGGGCGGCTGGGTGGCGTTTGGGGACACGGGGGGTGGCATCTGGATGCTGCTGGATGACGCTTATGGGCAATAGGGTGGCACCTGGGGGTGTGGGGTGGCATCTCGGTGCTACAGAGTGACACTAATGGACACCTGGGTGGCGACTGGGGGCAGGCGGGGTGGCAGCTGGGTACTGCTGGGTGGCATTTATGGATAGCAAGGGACACCTGGGGGCAGTTGGGTGGCATTGAGGAAGCTCCTGGGAACGGCTGGGTGGGACCTGGGGGCAGCTGGGTGGCAGCCGGGTGACACTTGAGAACAGGCTGGGTGGCATCTGGGTGCTGCTGGGTGACACTTATGGACACCAGGTGGCACCTGGGGACAGCTGGGTGACACTTATGGACAGTAGGGTGGCACTTCAGGATGGCTGGGTGGCACCTGGGTGACACTTGGAGACGGGCCGGGTGACATCTGTGCGCTGCTGGGTGGCGTTTATGGACACCAGGTGGCACCTGGGGACAACTGGGTGGCACATAAGGGTGTACAGTGAAACCTTGGTGCTGCTGGGGCCATCAGGTGGCGCCTGGGGACACCTGACTGGCAACTGGGGGTGCAGGGTGGCACCTCAGTGCTGAGGAGTGGCAGTTATGGACACCTGGGCGGCACCTGGGTGACACTTGGGAGCAGGCTGAGTGGCACCTGAGTGCTGCTGGGCAGCATTTATGGATAGCAGGGGGTGCCTGGGGACAATTGGGTGGCACCTGGAGTTGCAGAGTGGCACCTGGGGGCTGCTGGTGGCATTTATGGACACCAGGGTGGCACCTGGAGACAGGTTGGCAACTGGGGGTGTGGGTGGGGTGGCACTTGGGCGCTGCAGAGTGATACTTATGGACACCTGGGTGGCACCTGGGTGACATTTGGGAACAGGCCAGATGACGTCTAGGGACAGCTGGGTGACTCTTATGGACACCAGGTGGCGCCTGGGGACAGCTGGGTGGCACAGGGTGGCACCCGGGGAGAGGCTGGGTGGCACCTGGGGGAGCTGCTGGGGACACCAGGTGGCACCTGATGGTGAGGGGCAGCACCTGGGGACTGCTGGGTGACACTTGTGGTCACCAGGGTGGCACTCGGGTCAGCTGGTTGGCACCTGGGTGGCACTTGGGGACAGGCCAGGTGGCACTTGGGTGCTGCTGGGGATCTCTGGGTGGCATCTGGGTGCTGCTGGGTGGCACTTATGGACACCGGGTGGCACCGGGGGACAGCTGGGAACGTACCGGGTGACACCTGGTGGCACTTGGTGACACACGAGGTGCCACCTGAGGAAGTGCTGGGTGACATGTAAGGACACGTGGGTGCTGCTGGGTGCCACGGGGACGCTTTGGGGACACTGAGGGCAGGCTGGATGCTGCTGGGGACGCACCGGGTGCCACCCGCTGGGTGACATGTGGGGGAGGGTCGGGCGCCACCCGCCGTCCCCTCAGCCCGTCCCTGTCCCCACAGTGCGGCTCCACGACAGCATCTCGGAGGAGGGCTTCCACTACCTCGTGTTCGACCTGTGAGTGCGGGGCGACCCGGCGGGGGTCCCCAAAAGGGGGGGGGGGTCCCAGATGGGGTCGGCGACGGGGCTGACGGCGCGGTGTCCCCGCGGCGCTGTGCCCGCAGGGTGACGGGCGGGGAGCTGTTCGAGGACATCGTGGCCCGCGAATACTACAGCGAGGCGGACGCCAGGTGAGGCCCCCCGGCCCCGGGCGCTGCGGGGGGGGGCGCAGGGTGCGGGAGGAGCCGGAACGCCGCGCTGCGGGCCGGGGGCAGCGCCCGTCACCCCCATTTCCCCGTCCGCCTCTCCGCCCCTCGGCTCCATCCCGCTTCGGGGCCGCCCCGTGTCCCTCCCCCTCCCCCCCCCCCGGTGCTGCCCTGTGTGCCGCCGTCTGCCCGTCCCGTGGTCTCTGGGCTTTCACAAC